TTCGGAAAGATAACCAGACCATACAGACCTAGTGCAAAAAGGTCTATAGTATTCAATTCATTAGGGTGGTTCTTCATTAGTTGCCTTATGTGAATCTACTCGATTCCTTCCCCGTTACCTTTGTGTCGAAGTCGATCAGTCACCCATTTTTCATCAACCCCTGCAATCTTAGCTAGTTCGTTATTGAAAGGTTGACTCTTGATGTGTTTGATATATGCCCTCTCTAGTCTGATGTTTTCATAGTGCAGTAGGGTAGTATACTCTTCAATTGTGGGCACCATGTCCTCCCGATTAAAGGTGAAACAACTATATCCCGGGTTCCAGAATTGAATTAATGCTCGGAGCAGGGGCTCATCAGTCTTGACATGGAGTAAGAGGGCAATATCACCATATCATTGGCTGAACTTCTGTTTTCTGTCATTCCCCCAACTGTCCCAAATATCATTTTGTTTCATGCTGACAAATGCGTACCTAACAAGCTTTGACACATAATTTACCTGAAGACTGTCTCCCTTCTTTTTCTGAGTCTTCTCGGAGCATAGTCGTGCCTCATCGTTTTTAATCTCTTGTATTACAACACCTTTGTCCATTAATTCGGATTTATTTTATGTTTAACAAACTTTTTTTAAGGATCAATAGCCTCTTGTTATGATGCAAATGCTAGAAAACAAGCACAAAGGCAAAATGATTAGTAAAATAAAAATAAAAATAAAAAATAAAAAAATGACGAAAGAAAAAAACACAAAAAAGAAAATGTTTAGGGTAAAAATATCCTAGGTTTTGGAATGTGGTTTCGGGGTAGGCTCTAATTCTCCATGGTTTCTCGGTTTAGGTTCTAAAAACGGTACCTGAGTTCTCCTTGCTGGTGCCCCCTTGGGATTGACAGACCCTTAGTCCTAAACCCATCACAGGCTTGTGTGGACTAAGTTAAACTCGAGAGGACACATTCCCTTATGCCCGCATGGTGAATAAATTCACACGAAGACATAAGGTATATGAATCCCGAAGGCTACTTGCTAGGCCCACACGGTGAATAAATTCACACGAAGGCATCGCTTTCACCCCTACTTAAGATAGGGTTTGGAGCTCAGGTATAGAGCCTTAAATGAAAATAATTTGAAGGATGAAATCACGAGAAAACGATTAGTACAACTATTTACCTGAAAAATATAATCAAAAAGTAAATAAAAAATGATCGAAATGTTACCTTAAAATTTAAACTTACCCTTTTCATTAAAAAGACAATTGGAAATTACCTTAGCCTGACTCACTTACCTATCCCCAGCAGAGTCGCCAAGCTGTCATAACCATCTCTCGGTTGGGCCCTGGAATTGGGCTTCGACTTGAAAAATGTGGATTGGAGTCGCCACTGACCATTTTAAAACGAATTTAGGTGGGTCAGACACCATCTTACCTGATCTGCGTTTTTACCATAAATGTGACGGGTTCGGAAGTCGGTTACGGTCAAGGAAGGATTAGCACCCTTGAACCGCCCTTTCGGTACCAATTAATTTTCCGGTTGTCTTAGTTGCGAAAATTCGAAATTTAAATTAAAATTTAACAGACCCGATTCAAATTACTTACAATTGATTGATTTGAATACCCTTAAAAGATAAAAACTTTAGATTCGTAGCGGAGTATAAAATCAAATTAGGATAGCAAGTGTGCAAACGTGAGAATAATAAATAAAACAAGAGAAACGAAAAATAACAAAACACGTAAAAAATAATAAAAAAATAAAAATAAACAAAATGAATAAAATGTTAAAAAACAAAGACACAGATAAAGGGAAAATATTAATGGAGTAAAAAAATAAAAAAGGTAAAAGAAATTAAAAAGGAATAAAAATAATGTGTACATATAAAGTAATATTTACTAAATAAAAATAATAAATATATAATACTAAGTAAAACAAATAAAAAAATAAAGATATACATGATATTAAGAAAAAATAATAGAAAAAAACAAAATAAAGTAAAAATATAATATATATAAATAAATAAAAATAAAAATAGAATATTAAGAAAATATATATATATAAATGTATAAAATATAATATTAAGAAAAAATATATATACATAGTAAATGGAGAAAAATTAATACATCTATATATATATATATATATACATAATGATATAAGATATATATAATAAAAATAATATAATATAAATAAAAAAGGAATATAGTAAATAAATAAATAAAATATAATTAAAAATATATATATAGGGGATGAAATTAATATAAAAGTAAAATTAAAGGGTAAATTTCAAGGTAAATTAAAGATTAAGATTGACTTAGGGGGAATATTAAATACTTTAAAAAATAAACATGCCTCGGGAGTAGATCTAGGTTCGAAACTTCGAAACCCCACCCCTTTTTGGTCAATGGCGCAACCCACGCTTTGGGTTATTCAAACCAAATCTCAAGAAAAATAACATGCACATGCGAGAAAAGAACGAATCAATGTAAAAAAAGATGCTACCTTTTATTTCCCTTTTCGAATCGTTTACAATAGCTTTGCCTTTGTATTTTCCGTGCTTTTATATGTATTTTGTATGTAAATCGTCTTACAAATAGGGAGTATTACATGTATTTATAGTGAAAAAAACTAATTATTTTTAGAATCCTATTAACAATAGAATCCTAATGCAACTAGACTCCTTGCTCGGTTGTTGCACGTTTGTTGGTGTGGTTGTTGTTTTAAAAGATATGGTGGTGGAAGAGTCCTCTTAGAAGATGAACTCTTACTAGTTCTATCTTTTAAGAAAATGAGTGTCTACAGCCACAAATAAATATAAGTGAAAAACAACAAACGAGAAGAGAACTCCCAAATGCTACCGCGAGCTTTCTTAAACCACCGTGAACCACCTTAGCAAGCTAGCTTCTCTCAAATGCTTAGCTTGTTATCCCCTTGGAGCTTAGCTATGGAGAACACCACGAAAGAAGGAAGAAAGAAAATAAAATAATGGAGTTTTTTGTTTTGCCTCTCGTTGCCACCCCATTTCTCTTCCTCACTTATCTTATTTATACTCAAAAAAACAAAAACTCTCCAACTTCCAAAAACTCTTAAATTCATAATAAAACACTCTAACTCCCAAGAGACTCTTAAATTCACAATAAAACATTTAACTCCCAAGAGACTATAAAATTCCCCCTTAAATATGAGATTTTTAATTCATTTTCTAATATAAGGAAATATTCTCTTCATATTCTTGGGCAGAACAGCTGGCAGAGGAGGTTTTACGTGTGGACAACTGGCAGCGATTAAAGATATCTTCATCATTTTTATCTTTTTCTGCACCCATAAATGCCGTCTAAAATGTTGTAGCATTTCTCCAATTTTCCTTCATTCTTTTAGCATCAATTACATGCAAATCATCAACAAAACACGACCTTTACCCTTATGTAACACCAATTTCAACAATAAAATGTTGCAGTAAAATTAAACCACCAAATATAACTTCATATACCTAAATGCAACTATATAGAGTTAAATGAGCTTTTAAACAACCAATAATCTAAGTAAAATAACACAAAATATAACCTTTTTTGTGGAGTTATAAGCTAATAATAAGGTCGACTTTTCAGTATCCTAATGATTTTTTAATGAGATTAATCTTTTCTTCATTTTTGTCAGAATCACTTTGACATTTTCAATACAAATGATCAAATTTATGATAACTATAACCTGTAACAATGAACTTGTTATTGTCATTTTATTCAATCTTTGATAATCAACTCTTCCTATACCTTTTGATCTTCTTCGACGATGAGCTCACATAATCGTTGGTGTTATCTTCACAATCGCCTTTTATACGCCTCTCTTAGCTATAACCTTCTCCTCGATTGTGTTTGAAATCTTAACTTGTTTGATTCTTTCTTTCATACCATGTTTTAAAAATATCTTGACTTTGAGAATTTGTTCAACATACACATCTTAAATTTATCTTCTTGAGCTTACAACTCACTCATTTCTTGTTTAATAGTCATTGAGTTTAAATCTTTTGACACAAACCATATAATCAAAATTTGGAGCCAATGAAAGATTTTTTTAATCACACGAACATCTTCTACGGTTTCTCTATACCTCTTCATTTAATTGACAATGACCAACATCCTTGAGTAATGATTCAAAATTTACTCAAGTTCCATTATTTGCAAGGCTTCAAACTCTCCTCGTAATACTTGGAGTCAAGCCTTTTTCACTTTATCAACACTTTGGAGCGAGTTTTGTAAAATCTCTCATGCTTTCTTTATAATGTTGACAATTTGTCACTTTTACAAACATCAATTCATCCAAACATTGATTTATGAGGGTGAGAGTTTGTTGATCCTTGTTTATTGTTTGTCCCAAAACATTCTTCTCTTATCGTGACAATGACATCTCATTTTGAAAAAAGTTGTATCTATTTTGAGTGATTTTCAAACATCTTGTGCATCAAGTACAGTCTTCATACGGAGACGTCAAATTTTATAGTAGTCTTTTGTAAGACAAGTAAATTAAAATGAATACATACCATTGTTAGTTATCTTCTTGTACTAACGAAACAAACTCGTGATAACATTTTATTAGGAGAAGATGAAAGAGAAATAACAAATTTATGAAGAGACATGTCTGTGAAGGAATTATAAAACTGAAATGACTTCCTTGTATTGCTTCATTGCATACAACACTTTATATAGCGACTGTAGGTGACGATTAGAATCATTGAAGTATATTTACGAATCAATGTATTCATGTATTCTAGTTAAATACATTCATGCATGACTACTAGATTCATCCATCTTAAATACATTCATTAAACACAAAAACATAAAAGTATATGAATTAAAATATCCAACCATCTTGGTCGAAATTCAAATTACTATATCCAACCATCATGGTCGAAATTAACTTGAAACTCTCCCATCGAAAAACAAAACTTAACATATCACCAACTAACTAAAAACAAACTAAATTTGTCTGCAATAAAAAATGAACATCATGAAGACGGACACAACTCCTACACTTGTTTTATGTTTTGTACATGCAGTACTTTGTAAATCCCGGGTTAATTATTAGGCATTTTGTTCTCTCAGAAATCAGAGCCAAAGTGCTCCGGCCTCCTTGAGTAGTGGCACCAAGGTTCCATTAATATGGGAACCCATGACTCGGTCCATGGCACCTATCAGCTTCCCCCCGATGAAAACAACAGGCACGGCTTGCGAGTTGCCGAGCAGCCTCATTAGTGTCCTTTCCATGTCTGTCCCTCTGGGGTCCTTGTCTAGTTCGTACACCGTCGGATTCACTCCCATTCCACAGAAGAGCCTCTTCACAGCATGGCACATGCAGCAGCTGCTCAAACTGAATATCACCACAGCGCTCTCTGACGCCAGCTTCACCACCCTCTCCATTGGGTCCGACCCTATGCTCCTTGCCGGCATATGGTACCCCCAGGAATCCACTTGATAATGCATTCTACTTTGTTCTTAAAAAAACACGCTTTTATTGTGATCAAGTTGGAGAGAAAAAGGCAAAATGGGTCAGCTAGTGAGATTATGGTGTCGAAAACAAGATAAGATTGGTGGCATTTTATAAGGACAGGAGAGGGCATTATTGTAAATAAAGAGAGGTTTGTCCATGGTTGCTGCCGTGCGCGCATGCGTGTAGGATTTTTGTCCGTAGAAAAACGACAAAGTAAATATATTAACACTCGTGGTGGTCGGAGAGGAAGCACAGGTGTCAGTTGTGGAAGGCGGCTGGAAGTGATTTGTCTACTCTAGAGAGTAAAGATTCTTTCCAACTTTTTTAATTAAAATTACTAATTACTTTCCTTTTTGCTTTTGGCAAACCAGAAATAAATACCAGTATTAAAACTTCTGCCTTCTTTGCATAGACGGCGGCCTCAGTCGTCGTTGTCGGGCCTTTAAGGTTGAGATTGCGTGATCCTTACGCGCATGCTTTGTTGTTTTTATTGATTTATTTATTTGTTTTCTCGGATTTGTTGCTTAACTCCCACTTCCATAAATTTCTATCATAAATAATATATTATCATATAGATAAAATGTAAGAAAACAGTATACAAATTGTAATGTATTTAAATTTTCTAACAATTAGTGTAAAACTATTACGTACGAAAATAAAAAATACAATAAAATATATAATAATTATTTTTACTTATTTGTTCTCTTGTTATAAAAAAAAATATTTGGTAGGTTAGTTTAAGTTTTTTTACCCAAATATACCGATTTTAAAAACTAAATATTAAAATGACATTCATCTCTAATTATTTATTAAAATGATATTCATTGAATGAAAATTTAAGAAAGCCACGAATACCTAGATATACTTTCATATAGTGGCACCCAAACTTAGGAAGTGGTTGATTGAACATGTTTTTACTTATGTGGCACGATCTTAAAGAGGCGCAGCTCTCAAAGAACACATTTACTAGATCTTGAGCAATACATAATTAAGTTGGCACCGTCGATGACCGAAATGAAGAAAAAACAAAAGTAACGTAAGAAAAACGAATTAAGAAATATCTAAAAAGAAGAAATATGCACGGTACGAGTTAGCAAGAGTAAGTAACGATGACAATACACTTGTATAGGTTTTATCTTTAATTATTAAATTAATAAATATATGTTTTAAAAAGTTATATTTAAAGGGATAAAAAAAGCTAATATCTAACTAATGTGAGGTGCATGAATCAACTTAACTCAGTTGTTAAAAGAATTATTATTATTTCTAGAGGTCACGGGTTCAAGCACCAACAAAGATGATTGGAAGTTCATTGTCAAATTACACACGTGATTTCTAACAATGTTCATACACGCGTGTTGTCGTCATTAAGCTAATGCTCATGTTAATATGTGTCTTTGACACATACCATACATAGTTTTTTTAAAAAAAATTATATATTTTTTTCTTAGTAAAATCAATCAATATTGCTTTTCATAGAGGACGTGGATATACACATTGACAATTGACTAGGAAAATTTTTCAACATATACTATTTTATAATCATCTTAGTTTTTTTAAAATAATGTTGTTTTAAAAAGCAATGGAAGAAAAATAAAAGAAACTGTTGAAAAGAAATACTTGTGGTATGTGTCAAAGATAATGTTAGTACGAGTTGAACAACACCGACGAAATGTGTGTATGAATATTGTCTCCAGTTACATAATGTATGTATGTTTAAAAGACTATATTTAGAGTGATAAAGAAATCAATATCTAACAATGAGACTTGTATTGAAAAATCTCACAATAAATAAATATTAATTTATTAACTGTTTAAATATATTTTTAACATATATTCATTGAGCAGTTTAAAAGTCTCATCCTTGTGTGCAGCTGTTATTCGATTAATACTGATACTAATATGTGTTATTTTTAAATATATATATAATTTTCTTTCATGATTTTTTTTTTTCAATTTAGTCTTTCATGCATCATTCTAACTCTTCAAATGCCACACACGTCATTTTAGTGTTTATTTTTTTAAATAATTATATAAGTATGTTTCTTTTAATGTCGGATAAGTAGAGTTTTACTTTTAAGGTAAGTTACTATCCATGGTTTTAGAGTTGAAGTCGAGGCGAAAAGCCCACGACTTTTAACAAAAACGACATTCTAGAGATTTTAGACGGAAGGCAAAAGTTAATTAATACATTAAAAATTGATCGGCAAACAGCAGTGTTGTTTATGTTTGATTGGATCCTAAAAAAACTTCTTCGTGTCCGTTTCTTTATTTTTGAAAGAGTTAATATTTGATTGTATTCGTTTAAATTTTCAATATCGTGTTTATGTTAATCTGTTTATTTTTTACGGGGGCAGAGCATGAATATTTATTTTGGGGTGTCAAATTTAGAGAAAATTTATTTTGGAGTGCCAAATTTAAAAGTTGTATGAAGATTTTTTTGAGTGGATGATTTATGTTTAAGGGTGTTAATATTCTTTATAAAAATGTATTAATTTTATTAATTTTCAAATACTTTTATAGAAAATTTATATTAAAATTTTTTCCAAAAGTTTTTATATAGCCTAGCACCGCCTATGTTTTTTAAGGCGTTCGATTAATGTAGTGTTGATGAATATATTCATTTAACGTTTGAAAAAAATGTTTGTTTATATGTTCCCCAACATGATCGTTTAGTTTAGTGTTCAACAACATGCCCATTTATAATTATATATGTTCAAAAAAATATTAAAATTATGCTACTAGTCCTTAAGCTCCGTAAACTTTATAGTTTGAACTCTAAAGTTCACCATGTGTTTGATTTAGTCTATATCTTCATCAATATTTTAAATGAATATAATATTAATTTAATAAGCGAAAATAAATTAGTACTACACAAACGTTTGATTAACAATTCATTCAACGTTAGTTAATTTACTCTTCACGCTACGGACATGTTATAAATGGAAGTGGAATTAATAAAAGTAGATGCATGGTATAAAAGAAGCAGCCAAGCATTTGCTTTAAATATTTGGAATTTGACATTCTGCCAACATGTTCACATAAAGCAGGGACAAAGAATCAGTTGCTGCAGAGATACAAAGAAAACACCAACAAAAGCTTTTCTTAAGGCGTGGCCTGCACCGACAGGTCTACTTCGGGCGGGCTAAATATAAGGTTCATTTTTTGTGGGTCGGGTAGATCCTACCACATTCTTAACATGCTTTTCTTTGCTCACGGTGATATCAGCAGCCCAGCATTCAAAGCTTTTTCAGTGTTTTTAGCAGCCGAGCATTCAATGCTCCATTTAAGGAAGAAGAACGTTGTTAGACCTTGCTAAGGTCGGCTATTCGTCTATAATTTTTCATTTATATAAAATTATTAAGCTCCGTAAATAAATTTGGATGTGCACATTCATTATACTATATTTCATTCAAGTCATAAACATGAATGTGCAAACCAAACATAAATACAAAGACATGACATTTATTTATTAGAATTATCAAATTATAATAATGTATAAGAGACTGTTGCCAAAGCTTATTTTCTCAGAACCAAACTCACATAAATTGATTTTAAAGACGATAGTATAATTTCTATAACCAGATTATGAATGGCAACGGTCGGGTTCGGGGCCGGTTTTGCTCGCCCCGACCCGATCCCCGACGGATTTTTTATCGGGGCGTCCCGTCGAGAATTTTTTTTGCCTCGTCCCCGAACCCGACCCAAAATATTATTACCTAAACCCGAACTCGAACCCGAAAATATTTTATATATAATTAATATAAAATATATAAAATATTATATATATAATTAATATAAAATATATAAATATATATATATATATATATATATATATATATATAATCGGGGCGTGTCGAGGCAAGGATACCTTGCCCCGAACCCCACCCGAAAAAATCCCCGAATCCGAACCCAATCCGATATCATTCAACCCGACCCGACCCGAATTTGACCGGATTTCGGATTTCTCCGTCGGGTTCGGGTCATACGGCCATCCCTGAACCAGATTTTTCTCTTAAGAGTATATATCAATTTGCAGACGACAAACAAACGAATATCACATTAGATAGAATTATACGTGTATCGTTGTTATTGTTCATTGCCTCTAATACTATGAAATTAGAAATCCGATTCCTTAACTAATGTGTCACTTATCATTATACTTATTTATACAATCATACATTAGGAGAAATTTTTACTTATTGAAAGTATATGTTATGTTTTCAAGAAAGAAGTTTCGATCTCATTGAAACATTAAAAAATTAATTTTTTTTATCAAATCTCACCAAAGACCTGATAATTCAAAATATAAAAAGAATGGTCAACGAAAATGATCTCTTTTATATTTTGTTAAATTTTCATACGGTTTTTTATTAATATGAAATGTTTAAAAGTATAATTAAGATTTTTTTAGTAAATAATTAATCCAAATGTTACTTGAAGTGCTCAACATATTATTTTATTGGATCAATGGGGATAGTAGTCCTCAAAATTTTAAGTTCTCATATATTTTAGATATTTTCTTTTGATAATCTATTTTAATTTTTTAAAATTTTATAAATTCGCTTCCTCTAACATAAAATATTGCATGTGTCCATGAAAGTGGCCTTGTGGAATTCCGAAAAACAATAACTACGTACTCTGTATCAATGGCGTCAAAGATATAAATAAAAACAAGGATGGAGACATTCTTGGTTCATTTGTGCTGGGGTTTTAAAAGAAATGAGGCATAAGAAGTCGCAACAAATTCATGAACTGGTTGTACCTACATCCTAGTGCTTAAATCAAACAGGGCATTCGTCGGAACCTTCCAAGCTTTTCACATCTTTTTTGCCGGCGTCCCCTGTCTCTTCACAATCTGTCTTATCTTCTTTGGTGGTAACATCTGGTTTAATGTCTACAGCTACTGGATAAACTTCGGAGGGGCATAATGTGCTGAGCACAACATCACCTTTCATCTGCTCCGGTAGCTTATCCTCTACAGCATCTCCGTTGTTTCGATAAATTGCATAAAGCAGCATCTGGAGCATCCCCAAGACGAAGCCCGCCACATTCGGAAGCTGTAAACAAACCAGAAAAAGAAAATCAATTTGTGGCTCAAAGGTCAAAAGGATTTGATCATTTGAACAAGACAACAACTTACAGCTACACAGAGGTCCTTCATGAATAGTCCATAAGCAAACCACATTACAGCACTTATTGTTAGGAAAAACGACAGGTTGAAAGGCATGAACTCAACGCTCTTTGTTCGAATCACTCGTGCCTGAGGCCGATAAAATTCGATAAACGTTTAATAACTAGAAGAAATCAATGTGAAAAAATGGATCACTACAAAGATTTATACTGACCACAATGCTTAAGGGGGCTGCAAATACAGATATAGAGAAAGCAACGCACATCCAACCAAGAACCTGCACACGAACTTCACCTTTCGCCAGGAAGTGTGTGAGAATCAGAATCAATGAGAAGAGACCAACGTTGAGGGAAACAAAAAGTTTTATAGCGGATGCCTGCAATTCCAAAATCAGATTCATAAAAAAAATTAAACCATTGGACAATACATTAAAAAAAAGCTTGGGAAGTGAATTTACCCTGCTGTTCGTGGTTGCATAAGCTATGAACATAGATATGTATATAGTCTCTACAACACATCCAAAGGAGTTGATGGTGATGAGCAGGAAAGCACCCTTTTTCATCAAGGCGTAGTAAAGCCATAGCATGGAGCTGAACAATGCTACCTGGTATGGGAGTGATTGGAAACTCTCGGTTGATTTCTTTTTGTATATTCTGTAGAATGTTGGTCTGAGAAATTTACGCAGAAGAAAAAAGGGTTATTATTATTATTCGTAGTGTAATAGATAGATGTCAAATTCAAAACCATTGATTTCGAGTTAAAAAGAAGATGAAATAGACAGATGCTTACACTGGAGCCAGGTATACAAGGATTGAGATGATGTTGCCTGCAACCAATTGTAAAACAATTCATCACGAAGTTCTCGTTGATCAACTAGAAAACCAAAATAAAATAAAAAGCATTCATGCAGATAACACATCGGTATTGTTTCCAAATAATGAATAATTTTCATATGATTGGGAAGGTGGATCATCCTATAGGTGTCAACACTAAATATCTGCAAGCGAACTAACACGTCTTGTACCATGAAAAAGGAAAAAAGATAGTGCGTGTATAATTAGTTGTTTAGCTTAACCAAATAATGACCAAAAACCTCATGAACAAGTAGAGGATGGAGAAACTAACAAGGAAAAGAATGACGAACTTAAAGTTTCAAAGCCCTAGCGTAACGTGTCAAATATATATTACTGAAATAGAGGAGGAAAAGGCTTAGATGAGCTCTCAAAATGAGCCAAAACAAAACTGAAAACTTAAAGCCAAGAAGATGGAATACGGAGCCAACATGCAGCATTTTGGTATAAATTATTACCCAAGACTCCAAATGCAACTGCCCAGGAATGATGATCCGCCATTAAAGTCATCTCTTTGTATATATGAAAACAAAGGAGAAGCAAAAGAGAAATGGAGGTTGAGAGGAGGGGGCTGAAAGAGTAAGCCCTAGCTCTCTCTTTATGAGGATTTTTTCATGAGGTTAGAGGAAAGGGAAGGGGGGGTTATATACAGGGACGAGTGTAGGCGTGGTGAATCATTGATGCAAAGCACGCACTGTGTATGCGTATCAAACTCTTGCTACTTGCATGACAAGTGGAAACATTAGTAGGTAGCTTCGCATAAAATCATTCATCTTATTTTGGCCTTACCAAATTCCCCCCCCCCACGTGCCTCTTCACTCGCGTGTCCTTCGTTCCAACCTATTTGGCATTTCATTTCTCATTTGCCACCCTCAAATATTAAACACAAATCTACATATTATCAAGCCAATGATTATCAAACTAATAACTACGTGCAGTGTTAGAATTAGAATTCAGTATACTACTTAATAAATTAAAAAAGAGACGCCATTGCATTTAATGATAAATCACAAGTGCATGCATAGTTTAATGATTCAATTGAGGTGAAGGAAGTGTTGGACACGCGCCGGGAACAGGGGTGGCACGACAACGGCAACAAGAGAGTTTGTAAGATAGTAGAAGAATTGATTTACGTTACAGAGAGACCGGAAAAGGTGTCCGCCGAAAAGCCGAGATTCAAGTGAAGTAACGGAAACACAACCTTTGAAGCCGTTTCTGGTTCGGTTTAGGAAATGATATAATAATAAGTTTAATCATACAGAGTGGAACACGCTCATCCGCGTCAGCCCTAATTAATACCATCTCTCTCTTTCTCAGAAGTAATGTCTGTTTGTTGTTTAATTTGCTTTTTGTTCGATTGCGTTTTGGTGCTGTACTTGCCAAAGGTTTCGTATGGTATACGAGACACGGGTGACTTTTTTTCTGTTTCAAGCCTTCTTCTTTCTTGCTATCTGAGAAAGAGGTGAAAAACATGGATTCAGACAACAAATTAACCATGTTGTTGTAATTGTAAATAAAGATAGATATATGATTTTAAGTTAGAGGTGAGGTTATAAAATTTTAAGGATGAATATATATTATCAATAAAAAATTTAAAAAGAAATATCTAAAATAGTATCACGTTTATTCCCTCTTTGTCTATCTCTGATTATAAGATCTCTACATATATGACGGGGCTTATCTTATGTCATAGAAAAATTGGATGGGTACCATCACCACTTATAAATTTTAAGTATATTTTTCTTTCTGATGTAGAATTTATGTCTTCTATCTCTTCAAAGAGTGACATTCTTCCTCATTCTATCTTTTGACATCCTCGTCATGAATTAATCAAAGAATTACTCTGATTCATTTCTCTTTGGATTAATATCTAGTTATGTCTGATATAATATGTAACGCTGCAGTTTATAAACTTTATTACTTTTCTTTTCTTTTTTGATGTAGGATTCACGTACTCCACCTATGCATAATATTTGCATTTCTTAACCTATTCATGAATGTTCTTTGCTATGGTGATTTAGAGGAACTGTTATCTCATAGGATAATGGATCATATTATAAACTAAAATGGGATTGATACAAAGGATAAAACTATAGTATAATTAAGTTAAGGTTCTAAGCTATAATAACAACAAAGCTGAATTAGTATACATACTTATAAAAGTTAATGTTTTGTCCCTTTGTACACCTAATTGCAAGCAAAATGATTTTCTCCCTTGAGGATAGATGGAATCCTTTATTTTCGCTATAAATGCATTTAATTTGATTGAATTAAATTTACCACATTAATTAAGCGTAAGAGAGAGAAATTAATAATGACGTTGTGATTTCGTGGTTTGAGTGTATGATATGGTTGGGATTTTGTGCTAGGTGGAGATGGGAGAGGTTGCCAGATTCGTGGTTGTACGCAAGACAAGATCGCCCTTTGGATTACTTGGACTGCTTTCAAATTTTCTTTTTTATGGAATCGGTTTGTTTTGGCACTTTATGATGTACATCACCCACCAAATTTAATTATTCAATTGCTATTCCTAGCTCCCTCTCTAACTTTCCTGGCGATTTGACTAAACTGACAGTGTTTAATTGAATATTTATTTTTTTAGTACCGTTTGATATATATTTTTCGAAGTGGCACCCTTTCGGTTGAGCTGGCGAAAGGCGCATCCCTGAGGACGCGCTTTACCCGGGTTTTCGCTGAGTTGGATGCCACGTGTGGAAGGCGCATCCCCGGAGACGCGCCTTCACGGGATTCTGATGACTCGACTGCCATGCTGGTATTTTGTTTAATAATAAATTTTTTATTTTTATTATTATTATAAATTAGTAATATATTATGTAAAGTGTTTCGATTATAATGTAAGAATTATCAAATGTATTTTGTTAATGTGTGTTAAAGGTGGAGTGAATTATCTACATTAATATGATAGAACAATATATGAAAATCAGTTTTTATTTTATTGTAGTTATAGGAAAAATGTATGAAATTATAATATTACACATATGGTTATATTATTATTTTTTATTTTGATTATCGATCTATTAATTTTATCAGTTAATTATTTAAATGTTATCAATCGAGTATCTCTTATCAATATTTAACGAAAATATTGATGCATAAGTTAATAAATTAGTATAATTACACATTTAATCTTCAAGACTTACATATTTATGAATTTAGTCTTATTGAAAATTTAATTTATAAATTTAATCCTCCAATCAAACATGAAATGTGTCATCGTATACATAAATTTTTAATAACTTTTAATTGTTTAATTTAATATTTTTCTCTACTTAGAAGGTGGAATTATTATTATATTTTAAAAAAAATTAAACTAATAATATTAATTATTATATTAAATAAATATATTGAAAATATTTATGTATTTAAAAGTTAAAAAAAATTATTTAGGTGTACATACATTGACAAATTATATAAAATGCAATAACATTAAATTATTAGAAACAAAAACATTCATTTAAATACAATATTAATTACATAAGAGTTAACAGTTATATGATGATAACAGAGTTGGACATTTTTTCTATTGTGCCCGATGTTTCTATAATGCCCACATCATTTCTGTTCTATTGACTTCTCCCGAATATCCATATCACAATGTATTCTAGTAGATTTTGGACGACCTGAGTCCCTCAATAACAATGGATCTGGTACAATTGTAAGCCAAGTTTGAATCTCATTTGGGACTCTTTTGTTTCCTATGGGCGGAAACTCAAATTCATATACCTTGAATACTTGTGAAAGTTGGTATACGGGATCAACATAATTTTTGTAGTCCAAATGTAAATGTGAGCAAGCTGCAATGACATGAGAGCATGGATATTTGAGTGCTTGAAAGAAACCACAATCACCCACCTCTCTTAGATTAACTCTGAAAGAGTTAGCTTCAATCCCTTGCAGCGGACGTGGCATTTCGGTTACACGAAACAATTCACGGGTGCGAGAAAAAATTGTAACTAACATCCGTTTGATGCAACCACTTTTTTATGTAAATCAGCTACTAGTCTTGGGTGGTAAATATGGTCGTTTTGCATCCAAGTAAGAGCTTGTCCACCGAGCTTTACAAAGAGTTGACCCAAACGAAAATAAGTCGTTTTAACCAACGCCGTGACTGGTAAATGACGCGCCCCCTTTAAGGTTGAATTTATTGCTTCAGCCAAGTTTGTTGTCATATGACCATAACGATACCCCCGTCATACGCATTTGTCCATATTTCTTTGCTGATGTCCATAATGTACTCGCATCCCTTCTTATTTTTTCCAAACAGCTCTTGTAGTATCGACTCAAACCTTTGAGGTAAGAGTTCGTAACCTAAGCCATTAGGAATATGTAATAGTTAATATGAAGTATAAATAAGTAATAAGAAATTGATAGAAAAATTGGGAAAAAGTAACATACCCATCCGCACGACTAACTGACGTTCATCGTTCTTCTTGTATTTTCCGTAATAGTTTGCAGCAATATGACAGACACAATAACGATGTTGAACATGTGGAGGTCTATACATTGTACCCAAAGAGTCCATTGCTGCTTTTATCCCGGCTTCTCGTCTGAAATAATGCATACTCGTTCCCTGGTGACAATATGTAAACGTAAATTTTTAAGGAAAAAAGCCCAAGACTCAGTGTCTTCTCCTTGAACGAGGGCAAACACAACAGGAAGAATATTGCGGTTTCCATCTTGGACCACAGCCAATAATAAAACTTGCTTGTATTTCCCATACAAGAAAGTACCATCAATTTGGACATCTGGTTTACAGTACTTGACTGCATTAATACACTGAGGGTAAGTCCAAAAGACACGATAAAATTGGCAGCGATCGCGAACCATTCGATCATTCACGTAATGATGTTGAGTTTCGAACTCAACAATTGTCCCGGGATTGAGTCTTTGCACAACATGAAACCAACTGGGTAGCTCGTTGTAAGAGAAATCCCATTCGCCATGAAGTTTGCAAATGGCATTCTGTTTTGCCAACCACGCTTTTTTATATGAGACAGTGTACCTATATTGTGACTGTATAGCAGAAATCAACACTGCAACAGCTATATGAGAGCTTTGCTTCACAATCAGCATGATTGCTTGGCAAATAATGTTGGAGTCCAAGTTGGGATGATCTTATTTTATACCTCTTGCACAACATGTATGAGGTCCATTGTATCTAGTTAGTTCCCATAAGCTGTTCTTCATCTTCCTCTTTGATACACGGACCATCCATTGACATTCGTTGTCATGTTGGACGCAGTAGCAGACATATTTCTCCGTGTTAGATCGATCAACTCGGAACTGAACTGAGTTACGAATATTATAACTCTTTATTGCCATCATTGCTTCCTCATTCGATGCGAACTCCATTCCAATATGTAAATTACCTTTATTGACTGATGATTGAAGTATATAGTTGCCAACATCAGGAAGATCTGGAAATTCAGGCTCATACATTGCATCATAATCAGCCTCATACATATGTGCAGGAAGTTCGAATGGTGTTGTATTTATCGAAACGTCATCCTAAGAATGTACGTTAAACTGTGGTGAGTCAGGTTCAACGAATAATCCCATTTCAGCACCATCTGCACCTGACTCCCGAAGA